TTAATTTAATATAAACTTAAAAAAATACAATTATTACTACACTGTAGTTCACACTACGTCAAAACGTTAAATTTAAATAAAAATATCTGCAAGAATTTAAAGTATTGCTTTATAATTAGATTTCTTAATTAAAATATATTTGAATATATCACGATTTTTTTGTATTTTTATAATTTTTACCTCTTAGCGGTTATTGAGACACTACCAAATCCACCCACACCTAAGGAATTTCATGCTAATGCGCCGAATCAGTAGTTTCACTGGTTCCGAATGTTGGACAAAATTCCGTTGGTGGCGCTTGTGTGCAATAATTGCCCATATTTTCTAAGAAGGTTACATTACATTTTCCGAAGATGGCGCGTTCAGTACCTTTAAGTGTTTCGAGAACAAGTTGCTTTCTTTGTTGGGTGAATTTTGCTTCTCTTTTATCAGTTGTACGAGATCGACTGCTCTGTTCCGTATGCGTGTAAATAAGCTGGTGGAACGCTGGTTTCTAGCCATGTTGGGCAGTGACACCTAAAACAGTCATTTTTGTGCTTTCCAACCCTAGTTTCGTGTGTGCTTTTAGTGAATAGTTTTTGAAAATTGGATTACGTAGTTCTCGACAATGAGCTGGGGAACTGAACTTTGGGTGAGTGTTTTTTCTTCCATTCCATTTCTTCACCGTTCGTTCTAAATTTATGACTGAAACATAGTTTCCGTGGTTACATTCATTTTTACTCATATAATAAGATTATGTTTATTTTCTCACGTAAAATTATCTCCAAAAATGCATTTTCCGGCTTGGAAAGAGACATATGCAAAACAGCAGTGGTAGAAACGGGTTCTATATCGAAATTCGCGACTAAACGAAAACCTGTCTGTTAGGTACTTACCTATTCAAGTTTTTTTTTAGGCATAACTACAACAGGTGCAAATATTCTCGTCAGGTGTGAATTTTCTTGTTAATTCTCTCCCTTAAATGCGTTGAAAATCAAGTTGGTTTAATAATGTAATATCTTATCTGTTCTAAATACGCCTGGCTTTTGACAACATTCATTAAATGTGACTAACATATAGGTAAATAGCCAGTGAAAATGCATTTTGGAATGTACTACTAAACCTGTATTGTACGTAATAGTTAATTTACATGATTTTAAAACGGTTACATTAATTATGATTGTTCAAAAAATTGTACATACAATGACTGCCTTTGCTATGTGTATTAACTTGAATGTTTAACGTTATAGATACGGTTAGTGATAATGATAACCAAGACATTGTTAAAGTATAGTAATAAATTTTTATTGAACAATTTACGTAAATAAATTTCAATTATTTTAAAAATAAGTACATGTTACTTTATTATTCGTCTGTACTACTTGCAACTGACTCAAGGATTGGTTTCGATTAATGATGACCTGGGATGAATCATCCTCGTTTTTACACACCCTTGACAACTGTATTTACTTCTTGTTACTTCTTTTATCGTTCTTTTTATTAATATATTTCAACACACTGCTGATATTGTTACAACTTCTGTAAGTTGCACACTGACAATTACGTATTACCATGACTATTTTATCGTTTTTTCTTTGCCTTGTTTTCTACTTCTAGATTCAATTTATTACGTAATAAAGCAATAAAGTGGATAACTGCTATAATATTGAGCTGTTATCTAGTTTAGTTTATTTAAAGTGGACTAAAATGTTTTTTTTTTCTCATAGTTTCTCAAGATTATTGAGTATGAGTTACTAGAAACTTTGTTGTTTTTGAATTAGTTAAGTTAGGTTGGGTTTACACTGTTTATTACAGCATTATTATGTTTTATAAATTAGTTCTTTCTCAGTATTGAATGTGTCTCGCGTGTAAATAACAAGTTTATTGAATTGTTTACGTTGGAATTTTGTAATAGTTGTAAGCTAGTAGAAAAAGTCGCCTGCTCTCATTAGTAATCAAAAAAAGTGGAAATTTGCCAGGTTTCGAGTAGATACTAGTAGATATTCATTTTACAGTGATACTATCGGTCAGAAAACCATTGCCAGTAAAGCTTTCTCTAGACTTTTGTTGCTCAACAGCTTCCTGGTCCGTAGATTGTGTAATCGGACGTGCTTAATTTTATTCAGTCGACAGCTGTTGCGTGAAATATTTGTAATTTAAAGGGTGCGAGAAGCTTTATTATTCCTTTTTTTTGCGTACTGTTAGTTGATCATGAATGTGTAGTTATATTTTTGTTTTTATTGTTGTAATTCGTTTATAAAACATATGATTATTTTGCTGTTGTTGAATGGATATTTATTACAGTGAGTACCTATATCAATGGTTTTTTTCAAATAAAAACATTAAAATAGAAGAATACTCAACAATGCGTTATCGTTTGTTTTCATTGTTAACAATAATGATCATAGAGGTGTGCCTGCCAGCATTTTTCAATGCTAAAGGCGCGTTTACGTTATAATTAAAGAAAAAAGACTTTATCGTCCGATTTCTGTGATGCTTTATCAAGGGTTCTTTGTTAGTTTCCTCTCGTCTATTCAGTTTATTATGAGATAAATTGTCGAATTTCCGATAAGCAAACGGAAATCCGTCCACACATAAGAATATTTTTTATTTAGAAGTTTAATGTATTAATTGGATGGTGGAAAAAGTGATAAAGATATTATTCAATGTACGAACGGCTTTAAAAATGTTTCGAGGTTAACGATCTTAAACTCTGTGCCAATTAAAAAAAGTAGCTAATTAATGCGTTGAATTTACTTAACATTATATTCTGGTTATGTTCATTTGTAACGGCGAGAAATGTAGTTTTTAGGTTTTTTTGGTTTTTCAGAGGATTTTTGGTATTTTGTTCGGGACTCATGCCTCTCCATTCATTCTAGTATTTTAGAATCTATTGTTACAAATCTGAATTCTCTTCTTGATTTTAATCTATCGATCCGATATTGATAGTTAGATAGTTGATAATCAAATAATAATGTAACAATGCATAATTTTTCTAATCGTTGTTGTGGCAACAATGCATCCGTTCTGTTGGTTATCGATCGGGTTTTTGGGGATTTGATGTAAACAAATAATAGTGCAACAATGAAAAAATAATTCTATGCATTACTGTTGCAACATTGCCTTCTTTCTCTTGATTATCGATCGGGTATTTGATGGTTTGAAGTATGTATGATAATACTACATAATATGGAAGAACGGACGGGCACAGTGTCTTTTGTGACCACGTTTAACCTACTTTATTGAATGCAATTGAGCACAGTCTCGCATGTGACCGCGTCCAACGTATTTTTGTTATTGTTGCCGGGTAATTAGGTTGCTTGAAACCATCACATCATCAAAAATCCGATCGATTGTGATGAACGAACGGGCACAGTTTTTATGTGACCACGTTCAACGTAATTATTTTAAGAATTGTGGCAACAATGCTGTTTTTGTATTGTTGCAGTGTAATTCATTGCTTGAAATCATCAAAAATCCGATCGATGGTGATAAATAAACGGACACAATACGTAATGTGACCACTTTAGAGATTACAAACGGGCACAGTATCTTACGTGACCGCATTGAGATTACTTTTTTTAAAAAATTGTCACAACAATGCTTAAAAATAATATTTTCGCATTAAAACATCAAAAATCCGATCGATAATCAACCTAACAAATGATTTGTTTCCACAAAATTACTTAAAAATAGCTTTACCTTATTGTAGTATAATTTATTTATGTCGAACCCTCAAAAATCCGATCGATAAAATCAAGAAAACGATTGCATTGTTGCCACGTCAAAGCTTAGAAGTATTTTTGCATAATTTCGGTATTAATTGTTTACGTCGAATCATCAAAATTCCGATCGATAAAATTAAGACAACGGATGTATTGTTGGCGTATCAAAGTTTGGAAATGTTATCATTGGTACAGTATTATCTATTTATTTGGAACCATCGAAAGCATATCTACAATTAAGGGAACGAATTCTCTATTGTTTGCTGTTGTTGCCATAACAATGCAATCTGTTTTAGGTTATGAATCAATTTTTGGTTTTCTGAAGGCAACGTTTTGTTGTAATAGTGTATGTAGGTTTTTTAGCTGATACATTATTTCTTTTGTTTATGGAAATATCACGTCATGTGCTTTCATTGATCATTTATGGTTTTCTCCACGTCTGGCTTTCTGAGAAGAAAAGTTACTTTGTTTTTTGTTATTTACCTGGAGGTGCATAAGTATTTAATAAATGGTTTAAGGATTTTTAACCAATAGGTCTTTATTAGGTATGTATGTAGTTATTCTGTAATGAGGGCATAGGCTTAATTATTTATTTTATTTTAATGTTTTGAGGTTTTCTTAGTTTATTTACTATAATATGTAAACGGTATAGAACGTTAAAGTATTGAAAAGTTCTCCTATATCTACATGTACATGCTGATGTATATAGAGAAAGTACACAACTTAACGAATTAACTAAATAACAATGAAGCTAAGAAATTTACATACATACAGTGATTACGTTTAAGAATGCGGTTTCATTTTGAAAACAGAAATGATACTGGTGTGTGTGTGTGAACGAGATTTTATTCACATCATTGTTATTCTTTTTAAGTAACCAGGGAAAATTTCATTTACTTTCGTTTTATTTAAGATGGGAATTGTGAATGGAAAGAATACATTTGAAAAAATGTCCCCTCAAACGTTCAGAATACTAATTACATAAGTTTATTTCGTAATTTCGCACTTGAAATCATTCAAACTGTAATTACCTAATTGCTTGTTTATTTTAAGTTTTTAATAATTTACTTTGCAATTTTAATGCAGATTATTTTGTTTTATAACAATGGTATGCGGTGATTTACACAAAACAGATTTTCGGTTTTTTGCTTCCCAAAAAAATAAGTAATTATTTCTTTGCATGTACATTGGATCTTTCCGGATCACTCCTGACATTGAAAAATTGATTATTTTTCTTCAGAGCCAAAACAAATACATGAGTACGATCTCAAAATAAACTTAGAAGGTATACTGTGAATTTTACCAGTAATCGTTTACGTATATGGACGTTCGCAGTTGTGTGTTCAGGGATTTCTTTCTTATTATTTGTGGCTTATTTTTGTTGTTATTTATTTATGTTGCAAATATTTTTGCAAAAACGTTGTTGGTTACGAACTCGCATTCAATCGATTTGTTCGATTACAAATTTAAATGTTAAAAGAGCCAAGTGTGCCATACATTTCGGAAACATCTGAATTGCTCGGTTCAAATTACCCATTGCTATTCTAGTATACGAATTGCACCTCACATTGTCTATTTAGTTGTATTTTCATTTGTTTTTTATTACATTTATAGTTCTCATTTATTATTAAATAGTCTTTTGATTTTAAATTTTGTTATAGTATACTAGTCTGTTTAAACAGGCTGGTGCAATTCTGTTGTATTTTCTTGAATTTTAAATTTTTTATTAGAACAAGTAGCACGAATGCTTCGAGTAGTCGAAATACACTTTTCTGAACAATTTGTTTAATCACTTTCCTTGTGTTAAAAATTAAATTTAAAGTAATTGTTTGTAAATAGGTATGCAACACATCGTACACTTCAACAAAGAAATTGCTGATACTAACTACGTAATACTACTTTGCCCTGTGCTGACAGCACTCAAGCACTCATAATTTCTTTTATACTTATATAATATTATTGTAAATACAATATAATTATTATATTGTTTGCTTTTAAAAATTTAAATGAAGATTATGACGATATTTTAAGAACTGTAAAAATTGCAGTGGCTTTTATATTCATAATTTGTACTGTTAGACATATCGTGTATAAAAAGTTAATTTGAATAAAATGCCAGGCCTAAAACGCTTTGTGTTAAGTGGGTAGATAGACAAGTTCTACAGTCAGTTGCATAAAAAACGCTCGTAATTATGCTGTAACTTTCTTATGGGGCGTTTCAACAAGTCACTTTATTTGTCGATTATTGGTACATATACACAATAGGTTTTCTTTTTAACTATAGCAAGGGTACATAATGTTTAATATTTTGTTTACAGGACCAGTATGACAATTTGGCTGCCCATACAATCAAAGGGATCGACTTTTTGGAGAGGTATGGCCACTTTGTCAGGGATAGGGCCACGATAGAATGCGAATACGCTTATAAACTAAGGTAAGCAAGCGAATTATTAAATTCCTTTCAATCCTCTTATTATCGTTAGTTATAAACCATTTATTGCTAATTCATGAAATTTATCTACGAAAATCTAATCAGATCATTAAAGAATTTTTTGATGACGTTGATGATTTTCATTAAAATGAGTTGTAGCTATAACAAAGTACCTAAAGTTGTGCGTGTTTTTTTTTCTTCATTTTTTAAAAACAACGATCGAGGTTTACGAATAGTGTCCGTAATGTTCGTTTGTTGTTTGGTGACTTGATCATGAGGATCAGCGACCTCAGTTGTCGCCCACGGACTTGGATGAAACGGTTTCATTTTATGGAAAATGGATATTAGTTTGGCTGTCAACATATACGATACGTACCTATGTACGTATAAACATAGCATATGTTAACCCACATGCGCAATTTTAGTGTACCTTTTTCCCATTCGAATGTACAGTCCTTTCCAAAAATGTAGCCGCAGTTTAATGTTTTCTAATATTTTTCCTTAAATTTACAGGAAATTAGTAAAGAGTTACCAGCCCAAAAAGAAAGACGAGGAGGAGTATCAGTAAGTAACACATATGTTTGACGACTAATGCCTGAGAAAAAAAATATTTGTTCAACTTTAATTTTTTTTGAGTCATTGACATTTATGCATTTATTAAGAATTGCTTTGATATTGAACGGAAATTGTCAAAATACATCGAAAGTATTTGAATAAAATTATTTGTAGCAGTCTAACGACTAATTATTATAAAGCAATTAACTGTGCATACTTTACTTCAAGGCCGTGTAAACTGTAATTTTTATGTAGATATGTTTTTTATATGCAAAGAGCAGGAATGTACAGTGTATTACAAAATACTCCTCAGCTCTAATATAATAATATTTGACATCACAGTGCTGAGCAATCAATCTACAATATTTATAATTGTTTCGTTGAAAGAGATGCTCAAAACATATCAATTCTTTTTTAATATGGATTAGGGGATAATATATTATTAACTTTTTTGCTGCTAAAATTGTGTTTAACTGTTATTTTATTATAGATACACGTCATGTAAGGCATTCAGGTTGCTCATGAATGAGATAAATGACTTGGCTGGACAACATGAGGTCGTCGCCGAAAATCTCCAGGCCAACGTCATTAAAGAATTGAACGCTTTAGTCAAAGATCTTAGAGAAGAACGTAAGGTAAGTAAACAAAAAGAGAGAGCGATGTTACGTTTGTCAGGTTTTTTTTTTTTATTATTATTATTAAATTAATTTTTTCTCATTAGAAACAGTTGCTAGAGGGTGCAAGATTAAATCAGGCAGTAAAAGACCAAGTGGAGGCTCTTGTTAGGTCTAAAAAGGCATACGAAAAAGCCTTTAAAGAAGCAGAAAAGGCCCAAGAAAGTTTTCATAAAGCCGACCTTGACCTAAACTTATCGAGAGCTGAGGTACGCGAACTTGTACAATATCCCTCACTATTTTGCTTTTATCATTACTGTTATTATTCTTTTATTTTTAGGTAGAAAAGCAGCGTTTGAACATGTCTTATAAGTCACAGGTGTGCGAGACAGCGAAAAACGAATATGCTGACCAGTTGCAGAGGACAAACGACTTGAGACGTCAATATTATCGTTCGGGGCTTCCCGAGGTGTTCAGGCAACTGCAGGATCTCGACGAGAAACGAATAAAGAACATAAAGAACTTCATTTATAGTTCTGTCGAAATCGAACGAAAAGTATTTCCAATAATCAACAAGTGTCTAGATGGAATCGTCAAAGCTGCCGATATTATCAATGAGAAAGAGGTGCGAATGTGTAATCTTTTTCTTTATTCCACTGCATTAAAATGAGTAGTGGAATTAGGGACAAGAATTGATTGTAATTTCTTAAATACTAAGAGAAGTATTTGTATTGTATTGATTTAGGTATGTATTTCAGGATACGCAGCTAGTAGTAGAGAAATTTAAGTCTGGTTTCGAAATTCCTGCTGATTTTCCCTTTGAAGATTTGTCTAAAGGAGGCTCAATGGATACAGGGGGCAGCATACCAACCATAAACCACATACAACCCGCTATTAAGATTAAAGAAAGTGGATACACCGTTAAAGGCACGTTTTCTGGCAACAAGATCAAAAAACGTGCCGGACTTTTGAATTTGTTTGGTGGACGGGGGGTATGTACAATTAAATATCGTTTTTGTGTTAAGTTAGAGTAAAATAAACAATTTAGATGAAGTCACTACAATTTATACTTTGTATATTAAAGGAAGACAATATTAATTCCTTTTCTTAGTCAGATCATCTTATGTTATTTTTTTCTCTTTTTCTCTTTGTGGTGGCGGGTGACTTCTTCGGATGATAATTCGTTTTGTATCGTTGTAAGTAATAAAAAAAATAGAGTTTAAAAATTAACAAGCTTTCTATCTATTTATCTATCTATCATATTGTTTTAAAAGCATGGGCTCTTGAAGACAGCAATTAACATAACGTCAAAGTCAATTAATCAATCAATTTATTGTAAAAGACCTGTGCATGCTCCTTTTCTTTTAGTAATTGCGTTAATAAAAATTCATTAAATGAATTAGGATTCTTCCCTTTTGCTTATGGCTTCTTTCTTGTATATTTTCATGCTGGCAGAAGCTTGCTGAGGTCTGTGTCGCATTAAAGGTATGTAGCTTCAAGCTTTGGGCCTTTCAATAATTTTCTCAAGTTTCTTTCAAACTTCTTTTATTGATTTATTAACAAATTTCTAAATAATTACAATTTTTGTTTTTTCATCTGTTCACTGTAAACAACATAGGATATTATATTTTAGTATTACTTGAAGGTAATAGTGTTTTCCCGTTCTTCTTAGAATGCTGCTGTTACTGATGGTAAGGAGGACTTCAGTGACTTGGCCCCCAACCAGAGGCGGAAAAAGTTGATGCAGAAGGTTGAGGAGTTGCAAACGAAGGTGGCACAAGAGACAGCCACCCGCGATGGTCTCATGAAAATGAAAGGGGTGTATGAATCGAATCCTGCCCTCGGAGATCCCATGACTGTTGAAGGTACATCTTTGTAGGCTGCTAAAGTAAATATATTAACTTAAAAAAAAATGTAGGTCAGTTGAATGAGTGTAGTCACAAGCTAGAAAAACTCCAAATGGATTTGAAGAGGTATCAGGGATATTTGGAGGAGGCAGTGAAGAGCATAGGATTCAATCCTCCCCCGTCGCAGACTAATTCTCCCCGATTACAAAATGGGGGCGGATTGCACCACAGCAGGTTGCATAGGAACAGTGGGGGCAGTGCGGCTGAGGAGGAATCACTCAGCCGATCTGGCTCTGATAGTAGTGTTACGAATCCTTCTCAGAATCACAACAGGCATTTTTCGGCACCTGGCACCCCTCAACTCAATAATCATGGGTAGGTTTCTATAACCCCGTGGGCTTAAATTTAAAGGAATTGTTTGTAAATAGTAGGTATGCAACACATCGTACACGTCGCATAAGAAATTGCAGATATTAACTTTCATTTACTTAATACTATTTTGCCCTATGCTGACAGCACTCAATAATTTCTTTTATATATAATATTATACTTAAAATATATTAAAGAATGTTGTGGGAGAGGATGAACTTCATTAAAGTACCCAATGGGGCTGAAATAACCCTTGTATGTAATTCTAACAAAATATTTCATATAGTAATATTGGTAAATCGTTTATCATGACTAATATTTTTTACAGTTGTTCGATTAATTTGAAACTTACAGAAAAAAAATGCTTTTTGAAAACATGAACATATGACAATTGTTTGTAGGGGGTTAAATTAATTTCAAATAACCCCTTGACATTAATATAGGAGAACATAATTGTTTGACAATCCTTACAGTTAAATTTTATATATTTATTAAATTTTATGGACAAATATACATACTTATGTATAAAAAAAAACTTCATTTACTTTAAATTTTTCGGTTTCGCTTTGCGTTTATGATTTGAGTCGTTTGTGTTGATGTAGTTGTTCCAACAGTCCAGAAAGCGGTCTCGGCACGTCACACACTAGTCTGCCGGGGGCTGATTCCGATCCGGACCAGTACGATTCGCATCATAACAACGACCCGGAGAGCGAGTACTATGAGGCTGACCTATTACCTGCTCTAGGCACCTGTAAGGCTCTTTACCCTTTCGAAGGTAAATACCTATTTCTTGCATCATAAAGTTTTTAAGGATTTTCTTCTTGAAACGGCTTTTAATTTTTTTAATGTTTAGCAACTAGCGAAGGCAGTATACCAATGGCAGAGAACGAAGAGCTATACCTGATAGAGTTAGATCAAGGGGATGGATGGACGAGGGTTCGTAGAATAGCGGGACAAAGTGAAGAAGGTTTTGTGCCTACATCGTACATCGAGATCAACGTTCAAAACCAGAATCCCCCGTAACCCTCGGCGGGCGGCTGTCTTCCACCAGTCGATGACTTTTTATCAATTTATTGCTCGTTGCTCTGATAGAAACAGGACGGAAAGCATTTTTTACTTTAACTATAATAAGTACTAGCTCGCATTATTATTATTGCTGTATGTAGTCATTTCTTTTTCACAAAATTCTATACCTGCTGTAATGGTTTCGTATTTTTGCATTAATCGAGATAACGACTGATAAAAAATGTACTGCCATTGGTCTCCTACACTTTGAGAATTATTAATTTTGTTTTTTGCTTTTCATTACTCGTGTTACTTTATTGTTTGTACATAAGTGGCAGTATAATTTGCACTTTGTATTTAATTATTTTCTGTTCGTTCGTTCAATGAGAACAAGAAAAATAAGAGTTAGTAATTCATGAGTAGACCGTCCAGAGTCAATTTGATGGTTCAAATGAGAAGTACATGATATATTTATTTAGTTCTTCGCCTATTTTCAGTTTAACAATTTTTTTACGTACCACAAAATGATCAAAATATTAGCCTGTGATATGTGTATTTTAGGGCAGTTCGTTTTACTTTTCTTTTTTGATGTACAGGTTCATTACGATCTTTTTTCAGTCTTGTCGGTTGAAATCGAAGATGAACAACAACAGAAAATAACATAGTTAATTTAAGAGGGAACATATATTTGCAGTGCTTGATTTTTACTAGTCAGACTGCTTGCCAGGCAGACAACAAACTGTCTATTTTTTTGTAAATAATCTTTTGCGTGGTCATTCTCTATTCGAAGATCATTTTGGGGGCCCAATACATACTTTCAAAAATGTAGCTAATGATAACTTTTTACATTGAAAATTAATTTCGAGTTTAAACACTCATTTTATGTTATTATTTTTAACTGTACTCCAAAATTAGTAGTCCAATAAGTAATATTTACCCCAGAATATGTTTTTATAAGATCTATTTCAATAAGTAAAATCTTGTCAAATAGATCTGAACGAATTAATGTTGAAGTAATTAAGCTATTAAGCGTCTGTCTTTGATATATACCATGCATATTAACAATAAACGGTCGTAAAAGGGAAAATCCGACTCCTTTAACGACAGCGTTATGTATACATATTATTATATGCTCACTGCAATGTTAATGTGGTTTCTTTTTATGTTTTTCAGTAGTCTAATTTTTTGATATTCGCCCGCTGGTCCTTGGTTAATTTTTACCGTGACTAACGACGTATTTATCATTTTTTATTAGCTGCTATTTTACTGCTATTATTATTATTATTACTCTTACTACTACTTGTATATTTTTTGTATCCTAAGCAAAATGAATACGCTCATTGTTTATGAATTTTTAATGTACATTGTGATTGCTAAAATAAACGTGAATGTTTAAGTCATACTCGATGTGAATTTCTAAGAAAGTCTCAGCATGCAAAAGACACAATTACATCTAGAAAGACACAAACACAAATAGGATTAAATTATAAATTATTTTTAATTTGTTGAATTATTTAATAACTAAACAAAAATATGTTTATATATGTAGAAATATATTTACAATTCAAATTTATAAGTAAGTTTACAATCTTGCTTCAAATAAAGCAATTATATTGATTTGTTTCCACTTGCAAATTTCATATTTATAATTTAACTCGTATAATTTTATAACGATGTAAATACACATTAGAAATAGGTTACACTACACGCACAGAAAGTACTGAAAATCGTTGTTGTGCTACTGCATTGGTGGTAGGATAAATTGTTTCCGATTTGTTGGTATAGGCTTAATTGTCCGCAGATTAAATAATTAGCCATTATATTGCCCCATGTATTATGATGGAGAATCCGATTTTTTAAGCGGATTCGATATTCGAAGTTTAAATAAATTAGTTAGAGCAATATTACGTTGAACATCTTAGGAATTCTTCTACAAATTACTCTTTATTAACTGTAATTAATTTTTAAGGAAACGAAGTTGATAACTCATAAGTCATTGTCAACATTACGAGAAAACGAGCACCACATGCAGGAGATCGAAGAAATCCTGAAAAATGATCGTCGTTACCTGGTACTCGACCACATTCCAGAAGAACTCACGCAGCTTGTCCTGAATTATCTGGAAGAGCTGGATCGACGAGGACCACCGCCCCCTTCGACGGCTGGCGAGCCGTCTCGTCGATCAGACAAGGACCCCAAGTTTATTGCCTAAACCTAATTAATTAATTCATTTAGAAAATGGTAATTGTAATTTAGATAAGTATCTTTTATTAATTAATGTCATGTGGACTTATGTAATGTTATTATATAAATCCAAAAAAAGGAATGTAAGGAAGAACAAGATCATTGATTGTGTTCTTGCCAGAAGACTTTGATCTAATTAATTATGTTTGTGTGATTCAATGTATACAAGACACGTCCAAATGATAATGATACCGTAATAAATGTAAATAAGAAAAATTTGTTTTTTATTTAAAAATAGTTTGAACTAGTATTTATAAACCCTATAATGAAATGATTTAATTTTCTTTAATGTTTTCTTAAATTAACGAAAGTGAACAATTTGAAAGAAAGCTAAAGTTAATCCCGCGCTTTAATTGTGAACTCGGAAAAAGACCCAATACAACTTATGCTCTCCTAATACAAATGTTGAAATTTGTGAAAATTTTCAGTTTTGCGACATATACGAGGGCTAGTCGGAAAGTAAGAGAACGACCAAATTTTCAAAAGGCAAGCTTTGATTTTCCATTACTTTTTGACCATCCCTCGTATATGGTTCAAAACCGAAAATTTTCGTAAATTTCAACATTTGTATTAGGAGAGCATAAGTTGTATTGGGTCTTTTTTCGAGTTCCAATTTTTAGCGCCGGATAAACTGTATACCGCAGTTTTGTCTTCCGTTTTTCTGATATAAAATTGGAACTCTTAAAAGACCCAATACAACTTATGCTCTCCTAATACAAATATTGAAATTTGTGAAAATTTTCAGTTTTGCGACATATACGAGAGATGGTCGGAAAGTAAGGGAACGACCAAATTTTCAAAAGGCAAGCTTTGATTTTCCATTACTTTCTGACCAACCCTCGTATAAGGCTCAAAACCGAAAATTTTCATAAATTTCAACATTTGTATTAGGAGAGCATAAGTTGTATTGGGTCTTTTTCTGAGTTTACAATTAAAGCGCGGGATTAACTTTAGCTTTCGTTCAAATTGTTCAGGATCTAAGAATATGAGGGCTCTAGTAATTTTCAAAAATTGACACAATTTCCTTTCTTTTTACAGCATTTGTGCTATTTTATTCTTTATTGTTGTTCATGCTTAAGGACATAAAATTAAAGACGCATACTTTATTATTTATTTATTTAAATACCAAAATATTAATATTACAATAAAAATA